CACTAGACAAAACATTATTATTAAGAGATGATACAGATAACTATTTATTATGCGCCTCTTCCCCATGCATAATAGTTGTAGTCATCCCTTTTATACTACGTTCATGATGTATGCTTTTCTATTTTGTTTTTTCTTTTTAATTTCTAATTTTTTGTTTCTAGAAATATTTCGTCTTACAATGAATAACTAATATAATTATTAGACGAATATATAAAATAACTACCATCATTATTACATAAAAATACTGGGTTTTGAGGTGACAGCACTAGATAAAATATTATTGTTAGAAGATAATACAATAAATAATTAATATAATTGTTAGGCAAAAATACAGTATACTTACAATTATTATTACTATTTAAAGGTACTGGTGAAGACACTAGATTATAGTTATTGAGTGAAGACACTAGATAATAAAATCGCTATTAGATTATATATTAAATAATAAATATTGATATAGGCAAAAGCATAGTATACCTACCATTATTATTATACAAAGGCACTGTATTTTGGGACGAAAGTACTAGATCATGATTATTGGGCAAAGACACTAGATCATGGCTATTAGGCGAAGACACTATATAATAAAATTGCTATTAGAATACTACTAAATAATAAATATTAATATAGGAAAAAGCACAGCATCCCTACTATTATTACCATATAAAGACACCAGATTTTAGGGCGAAGACACTATATTACTATTATTAACGAAGACACTAGATAATAAATTGCTATTAAACCATAGTTAATATTAATATTAGGTAAAAGCACAGTATACCTACCATCATAATTTGAAGGCACTGGATTTTTAGGTGAGGATGGTAAACCACAGTTATTAGATGAAAACACTAGATAAAATATTATTATTAAGAGATGACATAGATAACTATTTATTATATGCCCCTTCCCCGCACATAATAGTCGTAGTTATCCCTTTTATACTACGTCCATTATGTGTACTTTTCTTTTTTTTTTTTTTTTTTTTTTTTTTTTGATCTCTAATTTTTTTTTCTAGACAGTAATTGGCATAATTTAAATAAAAACATAGTATAACTACCATTATCATCATATAAAAGCACTGGGCTTTAATGCGAAAATATTAGAAAACTAACATAGTTATCAGGTAAGAACATGGGGCTTTTGGGCAATGACACAGGGTTTTCAGGTAAAGACACAGGACTTTCAGGTGAGGATATAAGGCTTTCGGGTAAGGACACATAATGACCAATATGATTATTGGGTGATAGAACTAAGCTAATATTATCAGACAAAAACTCTACAAATAAATAAGTAAATTAATAGTTAAAAAAAAAAAAAGCTTTGCAATGAATAAAATGCTTTATATCATCATCCAAGTCTATATTATAATTATCAGAAATTTTAATTGTATCTAGAATTTCCTCTTAATTAAAAATATTATTTGTATAAAACTCATTGACCAGAGAGCAATCACCATGGGGCTTGTTCTCATAAACTAGTTCATAAGGAATTTTTTTATACGATCTATACCACGAATTGATCATGGCTACTACAACCAACCTCAAGCTGAATGACCAGTCATTTCTACTAGTTGTTTCACAACATTTTTCTAGCTTTTGCTTCAAGATACCATTGGCATGTTCTATTAAACCTTGCGACTGGAGATGCCTAGAGCATCTATTAATAATTTTCACTGATGGCCATAGTGCGATTAATTCTTTGATCACTTGTGCTATGAATTCCTTCCCATTGTCTAACTGTAATATGGTCGGAGGTGATCCAATCATGTGAAAAAGATCAAAAAGATATGCCACGACTTCAATCAGTCTCTTGGATATTAGAGCTCTAGCCCACGAGAACCTACTAAAATGGTTCCTTACATGGCACAAATACTTGAACTCTCTATTCGGAATGTAAGTTAGATTGATCAAATCCATCTGCAGGAAAAAAAAAAATTAACAAAAAATTTAATTTTAATCTTTAAAAATGTAAAACTTACCTAAATGCGAGACAAAAAATTTTTTGCTATGATTGGCTTCGCTGTCAAAAGATGGAATACCAGTTTTTGGGCTGCATATGCAGTGCAATTATTCACAAATTGTTCTACAACCTCTTGTTTTACAAACCCCACTTTTTATGAACTGATATCCAGGTTTGCTTTTGACCACCATATTGTGTTATTTCACCATGGATATGACAAAGAACTTCATAAAACTTTTCAGTTATCAATATAGGATTATTTGTGGTCTTTATGATTACTCTGTAATCTCCAGGTATAATTTCTTCGAGCCTAAATTTTTTTTGGCCCAACCTCGTGTATTCTTGTTATAAAGTGAGATGTCTTTGGGGTTTAGTAAAATATTTTTTATCTTATTTAAAAGTTTCAGATTGATTAAGACTTTCCCTTGCTTTGCTTTTAGAAGATTATTTATATAATTTTCCAAGATTTGGTCAAGAGTATCTTGACTAATAAATGTATATTCCATTTTATAGGCGGTGAAAAAAAAAAAATTTGTGTAAAAAAAAAAAAAAAAAAAAAATGATACCAAAGAAAATAAAGCAACTAAGCCAATATCAAATATATTAGTAGGTACCAAGAACAAAGCCAAAGCCAACGTCCAATGCATTAGTGGCACCAAGAACAAAGCCAACGTCTAATATATAATTAGTAGGCACCAAGAACAAACTTAATATCCAAAGTACTATTTAGTAGACACCAAGAACAATACCAACATCCAATGACAAGGTATTAGGCACCAAGAACAAGCCAACGTCCAAGTACTATTAGTAGGCACCAAGAACAAACCTAACATCTAACATATAAGGTATTAGTGGGTACCAAGAACAAACCCAACATCCAAAGTACTATTAGTGGGCACCAAGAATTAAGTTAACATTGAATGTATTAGTGGGAAACAAGAACCAAGCTAACCAACAAGAAATGAAAGTCAAGTACAAAAAAAAAAAGAAGGTAAGATAAAAGCAAAAAGGCTTTTTATGCCCTTATTGTAATAATGTTATTTCATTTTTCATAATTATGTTCTTACATTTGCTAAAATTTTTTTTTTTTATCTTGCGTCAGATTACAACCTACGCACCTCAGGTAACCAATCAACAGGCTACGTGTGTCATCTAAAAATCAGCATCTGACATGCGTCAGATTGCATCCGATACAAGAATACATCTGAGGCACAACATATATATATATATATATATTCTTAAACTCCTATAACCTTTTAATCTGCTTCAACAAATTTCTCAAACACTATAAACTCCTACTTCTTCTATTATCTCAAACAATTAATTTTTTTTTTCTTCATCTAATTAAATATAGTCTTTAGAATAATTTACAAAATAAACTAATAATCTCTATCAAATCCATCTATAGTAAGACTCATATCTATACTATATAGAAACCTTGCACTCTTTTTAATTACCCAATTATACCTTATCAAAGTGCTATTTTTGCAAACTCTCATACTCCTCTAAAAATATATAGTATACATAATACTCTTCTCTACTTATACCTTTTAGACCTTCTACCTATCCTACTAACAAAACTTAGCTAACTAGCTAGCTAATCCTAAATTTTTTATTTTCTGGCTAATAAATCATAATTATTTCTTAATTTAGCATGTAGTATACAAATTATATATAATTATTGCAAGAAATACTCTAGCTATTACATTACAGTAGATTCTCTATTTTGATTAGCTAAAAGCAATAATCAAAATTTAGACTAATCTTACTTAAATCTTAATAATCAGATTATAGCTATCTATTAAATGAAAATATTTCTAAACTAATTTTACTATAGCATAGGCATATTTCTCTAAAAATTTATATTTTTGTAATAAAAAAGTTAAACCTTAATTCTGGCTAAAAACTATATAACTATTGTATAATACAGACCAAAATTTTGTAAACTATAGCAGTTAGCTAATTAAAATTAAGAATCTGCTTGGCAAAATTGGTATAACATCTAAGGTATTTTTATTATATAAAATAAAAGATAAGTATCTTTATCTAATAATCAAGCAATTTTTTGTAGATGATTGCAAGAATACAGGATTTTAATAATAAATAATCATAGATTGCAAATTACCTAATTTCAATAATTTTATTTGTTTTAATTCTATAAACTTACAGAATTAAATTAAAAAAAATTTCATCGAATTTGAATTAATGGTCCTTTAGAAATCTTTGTTTAAAGTTAAAAAAAAAATATTTGCTAATTTTTTGTAAATTTGAATGTTTTAAAAGTTTAGTGAAAAAGGCCTCATTTCTACTTCTCTTATTCAATACATACTACTATTTGATATTTTATACTCTATTGCCTCTTAAATTATTATTCAAGTTCTTATCAAAATCTCTAACCAACTTTACAATCAAATTTGGAAATTATACTGTATTAACTTTTCTACTTAGAAAAAAGTACATCAAATATCTTCAAACTTTGTTTCTACCCAACTCCATCAACAACCTCTCCTCTATCCTCATTCTAGAACTCACAATATATTTACATACAATTGCCCTGCAATTTATCAGATCAACTACATTCTAATTCTAATTCTTGCCTACCTGCTAGACTTGCAAATTGTAAATTTAATATCTGGGCTACCATGTGGGCCCAGTATAGCATCCCACTAACTTTATTTTAACTATTCAAATCTAGATGAGTCTTGACCACTCTAGTAGGTTTAGGTCACAGATAAATAATTAGTTTGAGCTCTTATTCTTGCATGTAGTTTATATTTATTTATTTGTATATGAATTAAGTTTTCATTTAGTTTCTATATGTCTACTTATATAAATTACTCAATAAAGATATAAGCAAGGCCTCATCTTTTAAAATTATTAATATTATTTTGATACAATATTCACCATATTTTAGAAATATTCAAGTATACAAAGAGAAGCATGACTGTATAGAAATTAAAATCTGCTATTTACAGATCCTTTACTTATAGATATTGAACATAATATAGTTGATGTTGAGTTTTTATTATAGAAAAAAATTACTGAAAATCAGGATATTGATACTAAAAAAATCAATACATATATGTAAGTTATAAAAATTAGTTAATTAAAAATTTTAAATTTAATATTGATATATATAAATTTATAAATTTAGAGAATACTTAGTTGCTAAAAATAATTCTTGCAAGTTTAAAAACAATAATAGAATTATATGTTCTGAAAATCTGATTTTATGCAAATCACAATTATATTCAAATATATTTCAATAGTTTATTGTATGCTCAAAATATAATATTGGTAATAAGTAGTATTATTATATCAAGATTGATTATAAGTATATAGATATTATATCTCTTTAGAATTTATTTTTTGGAAAGGCTAAGGTAATATATATGCTATTTGTAATTTATAAATTAATATTATAAACTATAACTAATAATTATAATTTAATTAATTTGTCAGATTCAAAAACAATTATTATATTGTACAACTTTATTGCATCATTCTTCTAAAAGAAAAAAATGTGATAATGATTTAACTTTATAATATTTGAATTAGTTATTTTAATATTTTGAGCTTAATAATTAATAAATTAATTTTAAAAATATATGATTATATATATTATTATGTGCTGAATTCATTTGTTGTCTTAATAAAATTTTAAGTAATTTTAATTTAAAAAAAATGTCCACAAATGTTTAAAAATATCCAATGTACAACACTGCTATACTAGGCCCACATAGTAGCCCAGATATTAAATTTATGATTTGCAAGTCTAGCAGGTAGGCAAGAATTAGAATCAGAGTTGATCTGGTAAATTACAAGGGCAATTGTATGCAAATATATTATGAGTTCTAGAATGGAGACGAGTAAGAGGTTGTTGATAGAGTTGAGTAAAAACAAAGTTTGAAGATATTTAATGTGCTTTTTTCCAAGTAGAAAAGTTAATACAGTATGATTTTCAAATTTGATTGTAAAATTAGTTGGAGATTTTGATAAGAACTTTTAAATAATATTAATAAGTATTAATAATTTATTATTTATTATATATATAATTTAATTCATTTTTAAAAAAATTGTTACATTTTTCCATGCATGATTCTGATCTGTCCAATCTGCAACATGAAATATAGTTGCAATACCTTTTGGCGAAGTTGATAGATATTCTATAGGCACACTAGAATGAATTATATTTTTTATATGAAGATGGGATGTAAAACATACAATTTCAGGAAATTCATCATCCTCATTGACTAATTCATCTTCAAGTGGCTTAGTTTCTGACAATGATAACTCCTAATAATAATATATATATATGTAATAAATATTATTAGCAAATCTAAATTTATTTTTGCTAAACATATAGCGATTTAAAAATAAAAAAAAAACCAGTTTTTTTATATGTATATTACTGATATTTGCTCATATTCAGGATTTACTAGTTCAACCTGAAATTCTTCAACATCAGATAAAACATTTCCATTTTTTACTAATGCTAAAATTACCGTTACAGAGAAAATTTTTGCATGTAAAAGTAAATTTTTGTTAAAAAGGAAATTTTCGATAAAAAGGAATTTTCTCTAAAAAGGTGATTTTTGCTAAAAAGGAAATTGACTATTAAATTGATATTAATATTGATATCAATTTATGTAATATTGATATCAGACATGTACGATGCATAAATTACGTCTGTCTGAGTATAGTAGAAACTTTTTATTTTTTTTAAAAGTCCGTACTAACTTGTATCACCGTACAGTACTGTACTACTTTACTATATACTCACAACCCACCCTATAAGAAAAATGGTTCGGATCGGTACGGGTTGGTTTCGGATAGGCACGGGCCTTTGTGGCACGGGTCAAGATCCGGATTTGTACGGGTATGGT